GACCAATGATGTCACTATGAACAAGGTCAAGAGGACTTGAAACTTGAACATTGACTGGGGGATGAGGATGATGTGCGTGCTTGGCTTCGACGCATGAAGGGCATGGAGAAAGTGAAGAGGAAGACTCGAACTTGGTGTGATGCGAAGACCTTCAAGATTTGCATGTGCGATGATGGACTTTGTGGTTGATGCTCCAGGGTGACCCAAGCGACAATGCCAAATGTAGGGTGTGGTGGCTGTACCTGGGTGAGGCTTTATAGAAGTTGATGCGGCGGCGGTGTAGCCGTGGAGTCGACGATACTCCGGGTTCACGTCGAGCTTGAGGCGGTAGAGGCGACCAACTCGCTCGCCACGTGCAATGAGGACTCCCTGGTAGTGTATCTGCACGGTACCACTTTTGAATGAAAAGATGTAGTCTTTCTCCTCGAGTTGTCCAACCGACAATAGGTTGGCTCCAAGGTTGGGAACGAGGAGGACACCTGAGATGGAGACCGGCTTGCCGGTGGGGTTGAGAAAGGTAAGAATTCCTCCTCCTGCGGTGGGAGTTGACTCCTTGTTGGCGACCGTGACGGACTTCACTCCTGTGGTGGTGAGGGAATGTAGGAGGGAAGAGTTGGGAGTCATGTGTTGGTCGCACCCACTATCGAGGTACCAAAAGTCGGGATCGAACGTCGATGTGGGCGCGGATGAAGTCGTAGCAAAGCTTATGCCCTGTGGGGTGCTTTGGGAAGAAGAAGTGGGTGTAGAGTTGGAGGGAGAGACATGGGGTGCTTGAGGTAGCAAAGGCATAAAGCCTTCTGGTGGAGAAGGGTAAAACATAGGCATTGGTTGCATGGGGTAATAGGAAAATGGATAAGATTGACTTGGGTATAATTGGGATGACTGAGGTTGAGGTAAGGGAGATTGTTGGGGCTCATTTTGAGAGCTTACTGCATATGATAGGGCGGCTCGGCCCTTGGCGGTAAGGAGATGAGGAGGAGGGGTCCAATTGGGAGGTTTACGAGGGCACTTAAACCATGGATGTCTCCATTGATGACAAAAATGACAAGTGAAATTGAACTTCCCCGATTGGGGCTTAGCGGGTTGAGAGGGATTAGATGAGAAGTGTTGATTGGGCGTAGAATTTGATGGAGGGAAACGACCAAGGATAGATGGGTTGGAAGGCTTACTTGCTTGTCGTTGATTCTTCCCTTTGTTGTTGTTGTTGCAGTTGTTGTTGTTGTTGTTGCCGTGAGCTTGAGTAGAGACGGCGGCCGACCATGAGGGTTTGTTGTTCTCCTCCTTTGCCTTGGCGAGCTCGCGCGTTTGATGCTCGTTGATGAGGGTGTTGAAGATGAAGTCGCGCGTCTTTTGTTTCTCGGGAAACGCTTGAATCGTGCTCCGCATTTGAATCCACTGCGGTGAAAGCCACGCGAGGAGAATGGTGATGAAAAGCTCCTCGGGAACGGTGACGTCGATGACGTCGGCATCGTTGAGTAGAATCTCCGCGCGTTCCAAGTACTCGGGAATCGTCTCCTTTTGCTCCATCCGTAGGTTGGAAATCTTGCCCCACATTTCCGCTTTGGTGCTCTCGGTGCGAGGTTGATGAAGCCTTGTGAGCCTCTCCCATGCGCGCTTGGCACTGTCGGGATGACTCGCGCACGTGAGCAACGACTTGGCATATTGATCTTGGACGGAGTTGAGGAGGTAGAGGTAAGCTTCAGCATTCTTCTTTATCCACGCGGTTTGCTCTGTGGGAGGCTTCGGAGGTAGGAGGAGAAAGAGAACCAGAGTAAACGGGCCACCACTCTAGGAGAGTGGAGGACAATTGGAAGCGAATTTGCCACGCTTGGAAGTCCTTTCCATTGAACCGTGGCACTTCTAGCTTGGGGGTTAAAGAAGAGGGAGTAGACATTTGGGTATAAATAGGATGAGGGAGAAAAGGAGTATTTGATGTTTCTCCGGTGTTTGTGCCGCTTACTTCGGAGGAGCTCGATTCTCCTTGCGAAGTGGCACTCTTTGGCTTAGAGCCCTTGGGAGTGGGAGTCATAGAGAGAGGGAATGAAGGTCTTTCTCAATAGGACACTAGCGAAAGCGAGGAGGTAAGTAGCTCTGATACCAGTAGAGAATTGAGATAAAGACAAAAGAGAATGATTGCACACTAGAATAAGACAAGAGTGAACAGTGGAATTGTAGCATATGTAGATGAGCTTGATGGAAGAGAAGATGATACTTAGAATATGTGACTATAATGAGAAACGTGTGTAAGATGGAATGCTTGATGAGTTAAGAACTTATAAGAGAAGAGGAGTGTGAGCTTGTTGAGAGAATAAGAGAAGTGATGAACACTTACTTGAGTGAATCTTACTAGGAATAGTTGTAGAAGTGACTTGGGAGAGAAGCTTTGACTTGTGCTTTGCTTGGGAATGACTTCAAGCCTTGGGTTGGATGATGATCCTCCCTTGAGCTTGTAGCTTGTAGCTCCCTTATACTCTTAAGGAGTATGAGGTAGACTACTCTTCACTTGGTAACTACTTTGTAGACTAAGTGAGAGAGAACTTTGTGAGCATAAACTTATATAAAAAAGGGTATAGTACAAGCCTTATAGATCCATGAGGGATACATAGGCATGCATAGAGAGAGTAACCATCAAATGGTAGCCTTTGAAGAGAGTTGCATGAGAGTATCAACTTTGGAGACATGGAAACTTGGTTGCTAGTGAGAAGCCTTTGTAGTAGAAGAGGAGCTTGAAGGAGAAGCTTGGGAAGGAACTTGGAGAGCTTGATGAAGAAGCTTTGATGCATTGTTGTCATTGAAGAAGTTTCTTGAGAAGTTGTAGAGATGCTTGTTGGAGTTGAATAGTAGTAGAGCATGTGGTGGTGGTTGAGCACTTGTTGAGTTGGAGTTGTAGGCCTTGTAGTGTTGGAAGAAGACTTGGTGACTTGTGAAGGGATGAGTGGAGGAGATAGGATAGCTTTGGTGACTTGGAAGGAAAGGTGAGGTAGTAATCATAAGGTCCTTGGGGATGAGGAGGCAACTTTGGTGACTTGGGAAAGAAGGAAGGAATGAATAAATGAGAGGCATGTGGGAGTTGATGACTAGGAAATGGAGGCATGTGCTTGAAGGCACATGGGAGATGGATAATTGGAGGAAGTAGATGACTTGGGTAATCCTTGATGAGTAGGAAGGGAAAGCACATGGAAAATCATGAGGGGTCATGTGCCTTATGGTGGGGCTTGAAGGTAAATAGGAATTTTGGTTGAAAGCTTGGTTGAGTTGGATTAGGAAAGGCTATGGTAGTTGGGAGTAATTAAGGAGGTGGTTGATAGGCTTGAGTTGGAGAGGATGAGTTGGAAAAGTAAGTTTGTAACTTGAGTGGTTGGAATGGGCTTTGGAGGAGTTTGTGTAACTTTAGGAAGGAAGGGAGGAAAGTTAAGAGAGTGTTTTGAGGCGGAGGGGTTGGAGTGGTAGATTGGGGTGGCACGTGACGAGCGTGCCATTCACAACACCTAGGGCCTATGGTCTAGCCTTTCGAATTTAGCGAGGCGCGTGAAGCTTTGCTGCTGGGCAACCTCGACAGTCGAGCGAGATGTGAGTGGGATCACCCGAGTTGCATGACCGAAGCGTGAGACAGTTGCCGCTGCTGCTTAGAAACATTTTCCGAGGATCCCCGAAACTGCAGAGGAAGCGTCTGTTCAAGTGAGACAACTGCTGCTGCCACTGGTCAGCCGTCCGAGGCCTGACAACCCTCCGCCAGCTATGGGAGCCATACTTGCAGCGACACGCTTATCACGGCTCTTTCTTCTTTGTCCGCCGTTTCATTCTGATGGGACTTGCTCAGAGGCACACTGCGGAACACACCGCGTGTCGCGCGCTACCGCCGTCGCGACGACAAGCGAACCTCGTAGTGGTTGACCTGCGAGAGTAGGGTTTCGTCGCCATCAGGCTTGCAGCATCGCGCCACGAGCGGACCTCGTCGTGGCTGACCCTGGAGGGTAGGGTTTCACGATGTACGGCGAGCGGCTAGTGCCTAACGATCAGCGGACTTGGATAATTCTCAGGTCAGCTTGTTTTATTTACCGTGTGCAAAATCAACGCCAGCCGCTCTCAGTTAACTTGCGATAGGGTTTAGCCTACACAGGAAAGAGGTTGTAGTTTTAGCCGCGCCCATGGCCAGCCATGAGAATGAGCTGCTGACGAGCGTGCTGCTTGACCTCACAGAACCCCCTGATGCTGAGAATTCTCATCAGATGAGCGTGGTTTGCCGCGGACAGTGCTTCTAGTTTTGAGGCGCGAGCGTGCATCTCAAAACAAGAGCGTGCTGCTTGAACTCTCAGAACCCTCTGACGCTGAGAATTTTCATGAGGTGAGCGTGGTTTGACGTGGACAGTGCTTCTGGTCCTCTGGTATCCCGGCACATCCTTCAATGTCCTCTCTCCCTCTCTCTCTCTCTTCCTCTCTCGTTTCCAGTGCTTCTGTCTCCCCACACGCACACACACACATGCACACACACACACACACACGCACACGCACACACACACACACACACGCACACACACACACACGCACACACACACACACACGTACACGTACACACACACACACACATACATACACACACACGCACGCACACACTCACGCATTCATACTCACACAGACACACCCACGCACATAAACACACACGCACTCACACACACACTCTCCATCACTCATATTTGAGTCGTCTTCCCCCACCCACCCACCCACCAGAGCGGCGTGGACGTGGTTGATCTGCTCCCCGGCCCCATCTGGCACATCATCTTCCGCCACCTGCCTGCTGCTGCCGCCAGCCAGCTCTTCTCAGCTGCATAAACAGAGCAACTCTTTAGCGGAATCATTGTCACGGGGAGCACTCAGCAGTTTGTGTGACCTGGTCAATTCTGCTCAATCGCAGCAACGGGTCGACTCATTTGATGAACCACAACTTCACACAAGGATTGCTTCCTCTGCCTCTGCGAGGCCGCGTTCTGCCAGGGAGCAGCATGAGGAGAACACGAGGCGTTTCGGCTCCTCCTGGCCTCTACTGCGCTGCGCCGTGGCCAGCAAGAGGCTTCTTTACCATGCCATCTCCTTCTCCGTGAGTCGTCATGCGTTTCCGCATTTGATTGCGCAAACTCTTGTATAATGTCAGTTCATTGCATGAGAAGGGAAGTTTTGAATGCTGAATTGCTGAAGACAAGCTATGTCTGTGAGTGTGTGCAGGAGCTGGAGCCCGTTTCCTTTGTATACAACCCCCACGAGCTCCAGTGGACAGAAATGCTCTCCTGGTTCCTCAAACAGTCAGGTCACACGTCTCTCCACCTCGTTTCCAGCAGCGTGACGGACATGCAGTCCCTCAGCCAGCTTGTCGCATCCTCTTCTCAATCCCTCACAAGCCTTTGCCTCCTGCTCAAGGATTTCTTCTACCGATATCGATCCATCCAATACCAGTTGATCGACCCGGCATGTTTGAAGCAGTATGGGCAGCTGCAGGGGCTGAAGCTAGGTCGTGGGAGGTGGCAGCTAAGCAGAATGAATGCGGCATGGTTCAGAGCGCTCAGGTGTCTGACCATAGAGCATGTGGACTGCAACGACCATGACCTTGATTTTCTGTCTTCGATCTCACCGCAGCTGCATGAGTTCTCTCTCTCCTCCTGCAGCCGTCGCTTTTGCAGTCTCGAACTTGAGTTTTCTGTTGCTCGAGTTATATCAGTCAGTTTCGAGCATCAAATGCTGGTCGTTGACTTCTCCCTCCCACCCACTCTAAAGGCCTTGTCAGTCAAAGCGGAGGAGCTGGAAATCATCTGCAAGAGCGCCAGCCATCTCTCTCTTGACTCGCTCAGTCTCATTGGCCGCATCCAGCTCATCGTTTATTCCCTCCCACCACTCGCTTGCGCCAAAACTGTCTTTCTGAACGGACCACGCACCTTGGATCATACCTCCTGGCATGCACTTTCCTTGACGCAGCTGCTCAGCAGAATCGCGCCAACAGTGGAAACGCTTGTAGTGAGGCATGGCTGGCCTCTTGAGAGCGTGGATGTAGAGTCGAGCCGCCTGCGCTGCCTTGGGATTGGTGTGAAGGGCAGGAGCAGCAGCAGCAGTGAGCACCAAGCCATCTGCCCTCCCTTCATCAACGCTCCACAGCTGCACTCTATCTTCTTCGCCACGCAGCACTGGCAGCCCAGCGCTCTGACCTCTCTGCGCTTGCAGTTCCCTTCTCTCACGTTCTACTGCATTGTTGGGCGGTCGTTTAGATGGGAGGGAGAGGGGGAGAAGCGGAGCGATGGGCCTGCAGAAGTGAGGTCAGGTCATGCTACACACAGCATGAGCCGGGGCATGGTGCAGTATGATCGGATCATGCAATTCCTTCAAACCCTCTGAACTACTTCGCTCTTTTATTGAGGAGGAAAGGGCTGGCTGAGGTAGTGAGTGAGTAGTGAGTGAGTGGAGCCGTGCTCTTTGTAGAGAGGGGCGTGGAAGGGAGGTGTACGCTGGGACTAAGGGGTGGCTCAGTTGCAGGGAAGGTGTTTGCTGGGATGTTGGGGTGGCTCAATTGTGTAGAGGTGTACGCTGGGACAAGGAAGCTTTATGAGTGCTTATTGCAGTGGTGACAGTAGTCTGACAGTAAGGTGGTGTGTGCCTGATGTGATGGAGGAAATGGTTCGAAATATGTGTGAGTACTCTTGGATTAATGGCCAAGCATATTGATGGGGACATTTTTCACTCCAGAGGAACGAGTTGAATGTGGTGTAAGTTCATGTCTTGTAGTGTTTCTTTCGTTCATTCTTTATTTTATTTCTGGTTCTCATCCCATTAGTTCATCATCGCTTGGTCTGCCTACACGCAGGCAGACGTCCTGGAAAATAAAGTGTCGTTTAGAATGTATGAACACATTCTCTTGCATATTGACTCCTAAAACAAGATGTGATTGTGAATGCTCAAATTACATGTTCTGTCCTTCGTGCTATAACGAGATATTGCCTCCGTGAAAATTGCTGGAATCCCAAGCGACGCTTCAGGCATCCAGCCAGCTCATAGGTCCACCGCAGGACCTAGAGAATTTCGGTAGCAGCGTATTCTCAGCTCAGCGCTTATGTCCGGCTTGAGAGTAATCTGGACAAGGCGCTGCGAGGCCAGGCAACCGCGATGACCCGTGACACTGACTCTTGAGGCAGCAGTTCCCCAGTGCAATATTCTAATGGTTCCCCAGCAGGCGATTACACATGCTGTGTGCTCAGTCTAGGATGTTGTGTGAAGCAGCGACTTAGCCACAGTGTGCTCCTATGCAGCGAGCCTCCCGGATCAACTTTGAGTTACTCGGTTGACTCGTTTAGGTTTCCAATTCCGTCTGTCATCTGCAATGGCTGACCTCGAGAACCAGATACACGCGTTACAACTCACAAGTGCTCCCTCCGATGCGACTGCCAGCGTAAGTTCTTCGTGCCGCAGTCTAGGCTACTAATGCTTGTTCAGTACGATTGGCGTTCAAGATGCCCGCTTTTCTTGCCTTTTGAAGCGAATATTTTTCAAGAGGGTGTCAAGAATTTTTATTTCTGTGCCTCACCCATCGAATCCGTTGGATCTGGTCACTCTCGTACGTTTCCCTCCCGCCGTCAGATCGACGATGTGGTGGACCGCTTGCCTGCTCCGTCTTGTTTTGAGGCCCCTCAAATCTGGTCTCTCTCTCGTACGTTTACCTCCCGCCATCAGAACTGCGATGTGGTGGACCGCTTGCCTGCTCACGTCTTGTACTGAGGCGCCTCAAATATGGTCTCTCTCTCTCGTGCGTTTCCCTCCCGTCGTCAGATTGGCGATGTGGTGGACCGCTTGCCTGCTACTTTTGAGGCGCCTCAAAAGCTTATCCTTTGGATCTGGCCTCTCTCGTACGCCTCTCCCTCCCGCCGTCAGATCGGCGATGTGGTGGACCGCTTGCCTGCTCACGTCTGGCACATTATCTTCCGCCGTCTGCTTCTGCCGCCGCTCCCCCCGTCAGACCCTTACGGAATTTTGAAGTCGCCTGAACGGACTTATCAAGAAATGCATTATGAGCCCGAGCCTCCCATTGCTGAGTACGCTTTTGTCTGCAGGGAGCATAACGAGTTTCGTGAAAAATATGGATCCTCTGCAGCGCTGCTCTCCTGTGCTGCTGCCAGCAAGAGGTTATTCCACCATGTCCTCTCGTTCTCGGTATGTATGGTCTTAATTAGTTTCTCGTTTCTACGTAGGGAGTTTGGTGTCTTCAACATGGACTGCAGAGTGTTGGAAACAGGTATCTAACATTTCTGTCTATTCTTGCTTGCAGGAAATAAAGCCATTTCTCTCAAGTTCAACAACTGCTACCCCCAGTGGACGAACAGGCTATGCTGGTTTCTCAGACAGAGCGGGCACAAGTCGCTTTACATCATTCTCTCTCCAGAGGATCTCCGCTCTCTTCAACATCTGATTTCACCCTCCAGGCCCTCCCTCAATCGCTTACAGCTTAGGCTGGATCCGAGTTGCAGATGCACGAATAACCACCTCTCTTTCTTGAAGGATTTCGGGCAGCTGCAGCGGCTCAAGCTGTGTTCCGATTCTTGGAAACTGGGATTGCTGGACGCGGGATGGTTCAGGTCGCTGCGCATTTTGACCATCAAGACTGAAAGCTGCAGAAGCGGAGACATGAAGTTTATTGCTGCCATAACACCACAACTGCACGAGTTCACACTCTGCGGTCCAAGAATCGGCTTCATTCCCATGCCTAATGCCCAACGCGGCATCACCAGCTTTGACTTTGAGTTTTCTGTTGCTCGAGTGGTCCGCTTCTGTTTCCCCAAGCAGTATCTCAAACTCGGCCTCATCCTCCCTCCCTCTCTCATATCGTTTTCTGCCCTGGGAGAACCGCTAGAGCTTGCTTGCAAGGCCAAAACTCCGCTTTCCCTTGACCATCTCATGCTCTACGGCTGCAAGTTGCTGGATGCTTCATCCCTCCCCCTCAGATCTGCCAGATCTGTCTTTCTGAATGGATCCATTATAGATGGGCCATCTAGCAGACCAAGCAGCTCCCACTACATTCCTTCTGACATTTCCAATCTCTCCTTGACGCAGTGGCTTGGCGCTATAGCGCCAACAGTGGAGGTGCTTGTAGTGAAGCACGATCTCCCTTTGAACAAGGTGGATGCAGAGTGGACGAGGCTGAAGAGCCTTGGGATTGTCGTGAATGCCGGAAGAGCTTATGAGGACATGAGGGAGACTGCTGTGGAAGATGTTCGGCCTGAAACTCGTATGGGGGAGCCTGGATGGATCGAAAGGAGCATGTCCACACCAGTGCGGCCTCCCTCCATCAATGCTCCAAGCCTACAGACCATCTTCTTTCCGACTCGTTTCTCTCAAGAGGCGGCTTCTGTGGGCAATGTCTATCCCTCCCTGACACTGTGCTGTGTTGTTGGTTGCTCGTTCTCATGGAAGCGAGATGGGGGGGAGTATGAGAGACCATTGATGCGTAAGAGGTGTGACCCGACTTCATCGGAGAGGCATTTCGGTGTGGATGGCTATACAAGTGTTAGGCAGGAAATGCATGCGTACAACCAAAGGCTAGTGAAAGGGTATAGGTGTCAAACATATATGTTGCATATTGTCTAGGCTGTAGTGGGGTAGCCCATATGGGGTACAGCCCAATTAGGGTTTACTACTTGTACTCCTGCATGCTGCTAGTTCATCCATTCCTGCTGCTAGATTCTGACAATAGGTTCCATAAAGAGGATGTGATAAGGTTCTGATGGGTTTAATGGCTGTGTTTGAGTAGAGTTGGCAACAGCAGGATTGTTTTCTGCATGCGACTTCTGATTTTGATTGATTCACCTCATGGATTATTCTGATGTAGCAGAGTGAAGAGGTCGGAGAGCAACTCACATACTGTATGTCTCCCCTCTTTAACATTCAGCTGACAGCAGTTATGATGGATGAGAATCCTCTGGCATAAAGTACATTACTCTGAATATGCACGCATGTGATGGTGAATGCTTGTACATACTATGTCTTTCGTTCTATAGCGAGCACTTGCCCCAGGGAATTCCTCAAGCGACCAGCGAGTCGTCTGCGCGTTCAGCGCTTGTGCCCGTACCGGTATGATAGCTCCTACGCATCCATACCTTCGTGAAAACGAACCCGAGTTCAGATAAGGTTGCTGTACACGTGTTCTTGCAAAAGAACCTTGAAACTGGTTCCTGTGATGCCACGTGGATTTCGATCCAGCCCCATGAGTAAAGTCAGGAATCTAGAGAATGGTTTTGCAGCGTGTTCTCAGCGCTTTGACCAGATTCGAGAGAATATCGGACAAGGCGATGCGAGGCAGGGCAACCTCGATGAGCCGTGACGATGACGCTCGAAACATCTCTGCGCGCTTCGCGATTCCCTAGGCGAGTGATGCGCAGGTGTGCTCAAGTCGAGAATGATATATGCAGCAGCGACTTTAGCAACGGTATGCTCTGGTCGAACGAGCCTTACTGGATCAACTTAAACGGTTCGCTTCATTCGGTTATTCGTTTAGGTTTTTGATTCAATCTGTCACCTGCAATGGCTGACCTCGAGAACCAGGAGGTGCTGGAGAAGTTACGCGCTTTACAACTCACAAGTGATTCATGCGATGGCACTGCCAGCTTAAGTGCTACCTACCGCATTTCTGAGATATTAATGCCTCCTCGTGCCAGTGCCATTCCATTATGCCCTCAGTTTCCACAAGAGAAAATATCCTGAGAAGGGCTTTCATGTGCCATGTGATATTCTTTCTATGCCTCACCCATCTTATTTTTCGGATCTCGTCTCTCACATCTCCCTCCCTTCCTCCCACCATCAGAATTGCGATGTGGTGGACCGCTTGCCTGCTCACCTCTGGCACGCCATCTTCCGCCGTCTGCTTCTGCCACCGCTTTCCCCGTCAGACCCTTACGGAAATCTGAAGTTTCCTGGTTTGACTGCTCAAGAAATGAAGAATTTCCCAGAGTTACACACGTCTGAGTCCGCTTCTGTCTGGAAGCAGCATCAGAAGTTTCTGGAAAATTATGGTTCCTCGTCAGCTCTGCTCTCCTGTGCTGCTGCCAGCAAAAGGCTACTCCACCATGTCCTCTCATTCTCGGTGTGTAAGGTCCTGGTATAAGTTTTTGTTTTCAATTCGTGTCAACTTTCAGGGTTCCTTCTCTGACCGAGCGATTCGAGATTTTCAAAGTTCTGATTTTTCCGCTCCAAGCCTCCACATGTTACCGTTTTTGTACGGGGCTTGGTTTCTTCAACATTCTTTGTAGAGTGTGGTAGACATGTACTTGACATTCTGTCTGTTTGTCCTTGCAGGACAAAAAGCCTCTTTGCTTCAAGTTCAACGAGCGTAATCCTGGATGGGCAAAGAGGAGCTGCTGGCTTCTCAAACAAAGCGGGCATAAGTCCCTTGACATCTTCCTTCCGGCTGAAAAGCTCCGCTCTCTTCGCCCTCTGCTTTCGCCCTCCAAGGCCTCTCTTAATCGCTTGCAGCTTCGAACAGTCTGGTTCTCTAAACAGACGGATAATCATCTCGCCTTTCTGAAAGACTTTGAACAGCTGCAGCAGCTCGAGTTGTGTTCAGGCAATTGGAAACTGGGATTGCTTGACCTGAGATGGTTCAGATCCCTGCGCATTTTGACCATCAAGGATGTGAGATGCAGAAGTGGGGACATGAAGTTTCTTGCCACCTTAACACCTCAGCTGCACGAATTCACTCTCTGCGGTCCAAGATTCTACATCATTCCGTCGTCTTATCACGGACCCGACCTTGGGATCAGCACTTTCGAGTTCAACTTTTCTGTTGCTCGAATGATCCGTTTCCAATTCCAAAAGCAACATCTCAGACTCAGCCTCACCCTCCCTTCCTCTCTCAAGTCCTTCTCTGCCTTGGGAGAGCCTGTTGAGCTTGCTTGCAAGGCCAAAACACCTCTTTCACTTGACCATCTCATGCTCTACGGCTGCCAGTTCCTCGATACTTCATCTTTCCCGCTCAGATCTGCCAAAGCCGTTTATCTGAATGGACCCTTGATTGATGGGTAGCGCGTCTAGCACTTCTGAGCTGATTCCTTCTGCCATTTCTCATCTTTCCTTGACGCAGTGGCTTGCTACTATAGCGCCAACAGTGGAGGTGCTTATAGTGAAGCACATTGTTCCTTTGGAGAAGGTGGACGTCGAGTGGACAAGGCTGAAGAGCCTCGGGGTTGTGGTAAATGCCGAAAGAGCTTATGACATACGGTGGGAGACTACTGTGGAAGACATTCGGAATAAAGCTCGTAAGGGGAGGCCTGGATGGAGCAGGAAAAGCAAATGCACGCCGGTGTCTCCTCCCTCCATCAATGCTCCAAGCCTGCAGGCCATCTTCTTTCCGACTCGCTTATTTCAAATGGCAGCGTCTGTGGGCAAGGTCTTCCCCTCCCTCACAATGTACTGCATTGTCGAATCCTCGTTTTTCTGGGAGCGAGATGGGAAGGAGAACGAGAGACCACGGAGGCACAAGAGGTTTGATTCGAAGACATTGGAGAGGCATTTTGGTATATATGGCTATACGAGTGTTCGGCAGGAGATGCACGCTTACAACCAACAGTTGGTGAAGGGGTACAGGCCCCATAAAGAGGATGTAATATGGTTCTGATGGTTTTGTTCAATGGCTGTGTTCTTTTTTGTATTACTGAAGACTTCTGATGGTTTTTTATATTACTGTGTTCCTTTGTTCAATGGCTGTGTAACACGTGTTCTGCACAAACGGACTGGCCAACCATAAGGAAATCAATACATTCGGTATGGTCAGCGCCCTTAGCATCTACCCTGATGGTTGCCACAACCCAATCCTTCTTCATCCAGTGCTGCAAGCAAACCAAACTTCCTGGGCCGTGTGTCAGTCAGTTTATTTGTTTGTACCCACAGCAGAAGTCAGAAGCACTTGTACCTTGAGGAGTTGTAGGCATGTACGGGGTAGTAATGTGAGAGGAGCTGCCCAGGCCAAATCAAGCATCTCAAACATTGCATTGCAACAGTACACACAAAAGAATCGAAGCTGTTGCCATCCTACCCAGCAGTAGTACATTCCTATCAGCAAGGCAGAATAGCACTCTCGTGTGTACATCAGGTGCATCTCAACGCGAAAGCTAACGGCGAGTATTGGAGGCAATGCAGTGCAGCCTCGTAAAAATCTAGAGGTGGTGATAGGTAACTGGCAAGAGTGTGGCTCGCATCGCATCGCATCGCACTGCATTGCATCGGTTTCCACCGCATGGCATGGCCCGGTGGGCTAGATGTACACGTTTCTGACGTCGTTCTGGCCGAAGGGCACACCACAGCCAGGGCACTTGCGGTGGCGCAACTCTAGGTTCTTCTGGATGCAGGGCGAGCAGAAGAGGTGGAAGCACTTGGTTATCACCACCTGTAAGTTGAGGGGGGGGGGGGCAGAGAGGAGAGGAGGAAGGGGATTGAGTTAGAAAGGAGGGAAGAAGGAACAGGAGCTGCTGAGATTGGCTGAGATTGGGGCTTGCACAGCTGCAGCATTTCCGGTTGCAGCTCTTCCGGTTACACCATACACCTCACAGGTGGTCATCTCACCTACTACGTTGGCCAGGTCGTGAAGATCACCACATCATTTTTCGGTTGCAGCACATTTTACGTTGTCTTTGTGGACAAATGTGCTGTCAAAACACGTTTTACAACAGACGTCAAAGAGTAACATTCTGTAGGTCTAACCTCTTCTGTTGGTCGTGGCACACCACGTGCACTTCCATTCGGGGCGCCTCAGATGCAGACTCACCTCCTTCTGCCTGTCGTGGCACACGGAGCATTTCATGATCGACTTGTATTGCCGCAGCTCCTCCTGAAGCTGCTCGACCGACGGCCCTCCCGACCCCCCTCCGCGCTCCATGGACTGGCCCAACCTCGCCAGTCGCGCTGACAGCGCGTCCCTCTCCTCCTCGACTCGCCTCCGCTTGTTCCTGCAGAGTGCACGGGTGGGATAAAAAGCGTGAGCAGATGGAGAGTAGCGTGCATCACCGATGGCCCTCCCGACCCCCCCCACCCCGCTCCATTGATTGCCCCAACCTCGCCAGTCGCGCTGACAGCGCGTCCCTCTCCTCCTCCACTCGCCTCCGCTTGTTCCTGTGAGGTGAACGGGCAGGAGAATAAGAGTGAGTGGATGGAAAGCAGTGCGGCTCAAGTGTACATTCCCTTGACCTCCACCGCGCTCCATCGACTGTCCCAGCCTCGCCAGTCGTGCTGATAAAGCGTCCCTCTCCTCCTCCACTCGCCTCCGCTTGTTCCAGCAAGCGTGAGCAAATGGGATCTTTGACACGCTTGAGAAATGGTTCGCCCTCCAGCTTCTCCTCCACCGTCACCACCTGTATGTTCCGTGCAGCCAGGTCCTTCTGAAGGCCCTCCATGGCCTCCCCTCCCGACCCGACTCCCCCTGAGGCATCTTATCGTTCCATAGACACGCTTCCTCCCTGGTTCCCAAACAATTACACGCCAATGCCAACCCACCTTTTGCTCTCCAGATTTTCTTCCACCTCCACCATCTGTGTGTTGCGCACAGTTAGGTCCTTTTGAAGCCCTCTGCACCCCTTCCCCCTTCCCCCTGAGGCAAATCCATCATTCTTACAGACACGCATCTCCCCTGGCCCCCAAAAAAACACATGCCAACACACCTCTCGCTCCCCAGTTTCTCTTCCACCTCCACCAGCTGTGTGCTCCGCGAACTCAGATCCTTTTGAAGCCCTCCCTCTGGCTCTTTCTCTCTCCCTCTCAGGTCTTGCTCTGGCTCTTTTTCTCAGACCACACATGCCAACTCACCTTTCTGTCTCCAGTTTCTCTTCCACCTCCACCATCTGCATGTTCCGCAAACTCAGGTCCTTCTGAAGCCCCCCTTCTGGCTCATAATCCCTCACGAACATACCCCACCACCCTCAATCCGCACACACAAACCCACCTCTCTGTCTCCAGTTTCTCCTCCACCTCCACCATCTGTGTGTTCCGCAAGCTCAGGTCCTTCTGAAGCCCCTCCATCGCCTCCCTAGCAGCCGCCGTCTCCCTCTCCATCTCCGCCTGCTTCCGCTTGCCCGCCTCCACACTCCCAGCCATGCCCCTCGCATCCTCTACCGCCTTCGCCAGCTGCTCATACGCGGATTTCACCTGCAAGTGTGGGGGGATGGTTGGGGAGGGGAGGGGGGGTGGTTGTGGAGGGGGAAGGACAGAAGCTTCACAACTCTTCCCCCCATGCCCCTCGCATCCTCCACCGCCTTCGCCAACTGCTCGTACGCGCTCTTTACCTGCACACGTGCAGAGAAAGGGAGGACAGAAGGGAAAGAGCGAGAGGGAGAGACGAGGAGGAGGAGGCGGGAAGGTAGGGAAGGTACGGCAGATGGAGAGGCAGCGAGTGGAAGGGGAAGAGGGGTGGAAAAGGATACGTGGGCTGTCCGCATGTGCCTCTGCGCCTTCATCCTTTCAGGCGTGTAGCGAACCTGGCATCTTTTAAGGCGATTCAAAAATCCCTGCCATGCCCCTGGCGTCCTTTTCGCCCAACCTTCTGCCATGTGTGCTGGACGAGACAGGTTCGCTACAAGCCGATGCCTGGTCCCCGTACCTCCCCATACCTGCTCCCCATACCTCCCCATACCTGCTCCCCATACCTGCTCCCCATACCTCCCCACACCTGCTCCCGTTGCCATCTGCTGCGCGTGCACATCAGCAGAGGTGCACCCTAAACCCTGCATGATAAGTGTAACTATGCTGAGCTTGTTCACCTGCAGCTGCCTGCCTGGCCTATCTGCTGCCTGCATACTCTTCCACACCCCTGAACACCTAAACATCCCTCCACATCTACACACCTAAACATTCCTCCACATCTACACACCTAAACATCCCTCCACATCTACACACCTAAACATCCCTCCACATCTACACACCTAAACATCCCTCCACATCTACACACCTAAACATTCCTCCACATCTACACACCTGCACACCTAAACATTCCTCCACATCTACACACCTGCGCACCCCTCCACATTCCCCTGCACATTGGCAAACCCTTCCATACCTGCTCCTCCAACCGAACGACCCGCTGCTTGTGCACGTCAGCAGCAGCCGTGGCATGCTGCATGCGCGTCTCCATGCTCTGCTTCTCCGCCTGCAGTGACGCCTGCAGCTGCTTGCCCTACCCGCAAACCTGCATACCCACACCCCCCCAACACACCTCCACGCCCCCCTACATACCTGCTCTTCTAACCACACCACCCGTTGTTTGTGCACGTCAGCGGCAGCCGTGGCGTGCTGCATGCGCGTCTCCATGCTCTGCTTCTCCGCCTGCAGTGACGCCTGCAGCTGCCCGCCCTACCCGCACACCCGCATACCCACATTCCCCCACACACCTGCATACCCCTCCAAAATCCAACTGCACCGCGCCAAATCCCTCCAAATACCTCTCCACACCCATCCACCCCCTCTGCACACCTGCTCTTCCAACCGAACAACCCGTTGCTTGTGCACGTCCGCAGCAGCCGTGGCGTGCTGCATGCGCGTCTCCATGCTCTGCTTCTCCGCCTGCAGCGACGCCTGCCCTGCCAGCACACCCCACCGCACTCCCCTGCAAACCTGCCTACATACCTGCTCTTCTAACCGCACCACCCGCTGCTTGTGCACATCCGCAGCGGCAGTGGCGTGCTGCATGCGCGTCTCCATGCTCTGCTTCTCCGCCTGCAGCGACGCCTGCAGCTGCCTGGCCTTGACGCCCTCCGCTATGAGCTGCGTGTTGTACTCGTCCCTCTCCGAGATTTGCTGCAGCAGCCGCCGGTTCTGCGACTGCATCTCCTCGTAGGCCGCTCCTATTGTCTGTAAGCATGCAAAGAGGGGGGCCGAGGGAGTGAGGGAGAGGCAGGCAGAGGAGGGGAAGAGGCAGGCAACATTTTTCCCCGAGTCTGCAACTGCATGTCCTGGTAGGACGTAGCAGCTTGAGTCAAAGGGGCGGGCTGCGTGGCCATAAGACATGCAGCTGGCGGGCCTTGACGCCCTCCCCTATCAGCTGCGTGTTGTACTCGTCCCTCTCCGATATCTGCTGCAGCAGCAGCCGGTTCTGCGACTGCATCTCCTCGTACGCTGCTCCTATGGTCTGGAGTAGAAGAGCGGCAGGGGGGCAGGGAGGGAGTAGAAGAGGGTTGAGGAAAGGGCGAAACCATGGACGGCCCGACCGCCTCTGAAACCGCATGTGCCAGTAGGGAGGGCGAAATCAAGTCTAGGGGGGGATTGCGTGGCTATGCCGCCTGCAGCTGCCGGGCCTTGACGCCCTCCGCTATGAGCTGCGTGTTGTACTCGTCCCTCTCTGAGATCTGCTGCAGCAGCCGCCGGTTCTGCGACTGCATCTCCTCGTAGGCCGCTCCTATGGTCTGTGGGGCCCCACGGAGAGGCAAGTACGGAGAGATGAGGGAGGGAGAGGAGGAGCGGAGTCGATCAGGAAACCTGAACGGCCTTGAACCCACCGCTTATGAATCCGCATGTGCTTGTCGTGTGACGAAGTTGAGGTCCGGCGCGGGGGGTGATAGAGGGGAATGTGTGGCTGTTTTGTTTTACGTGCCTCAAGAGACGACTTTTGAGGGGGGGTGAGGTTGCAAAATGCGC